CATCTGCCACCCCAGGGTCACCACATGGACTAGCCAGCCTGCAGGAGAGGAGGGGTCATCTGCCACCCCAAGGTTACCACATCCAACCCAGTTTCCACCTCTTATTTACAGCCAGCAGCAGACATCCTTCAAGCACATTGAGTCTCATTTTAACATGTTGCTTTTCTGAACTACCGCAGAGACCATGGCACTGTACCTTCAAACCTCCGGTGACTGTCATAGTCCTCAGAGCAGGGCACCTCGATGAATCTCCCCACCAGGACCTCGCCACGGCGGGCCAGGACCTCGGCGACCCCGTCGTCAGCCCCCAGGCTGCTCCAGAGCAGGAATGCGGTAAGCACAAGGCCGGCCCCCAGGCCTGCGGTCCTCAGCCACGGCCTCTGCCACAGCCTCTGCGTCTCCCGCAGGGCTCGGTCCTTCTTGGTGCTGAGAAAAGAAAACACGCCACGTCACCCAAACATGGAGCGAGGCCAGCGAAACACTCACATCCAGTGATGACCAGCCTCAGGCTGTGCCCACGTAACGTCTGTTAGGGACGCTAACCTTTCATGGAGATGGGCTTCCGTCAATCCAAAAGCCTCAGTCACACGCACATCCCACTGGCCAGCCACACCAGGCAGGCTCCTGCAACGCAGGGGGTGGGAAGGGAAGTGTCTGCCCACACCAAGGCTCCCCAGGAGCCCCCGAAGAGGCGCAGCAGGGCTGTGTGTGACCCCACCCCATCTGACAGGCGAGGCTGACTGAATTTACTCCTACCCTGTCGCAGCCAGGCCCAGGAACACCTGTTTGGAAGGTTCTGTGGGAGTCTGTCTCCAGTCACGCTGCCTGTACCCGCAAATGGCTGCTGCACCCCCACACACATGCTCCCGGCACACACACATGCACCTGTGTGCACACACGCAGGACTTGAACGAAGCCAGCCAGGAAGATAATCCAAACACACCATGTGCAAATTTGCAAATTCACACACACTCGATTTGTGAATAAGATGCTTTCTGTACAACCCAGGGCTAACTGTGGAGCTCAAACAGCCCACACTGACACTGCGAATGTCTGTGTCTATGTGGGTGTTAACTGGGGCAGCCGTGAGCTCCATTATCCAGGAAAGACTTTGGGGCTGTAGGTCTTGAAGGGCAGGCAGAACGTGAGAAAAGAGATGACGGCGCCCTTTCACGGAGGTGCACTCTGTTTCTTCAAGTCTGTGACCAACTCCTGAAAAGCAGGGAACCTGCTTTTTATTTTCACACACCCTCAACACTTCAAAGCACTCAGTAAATCACACACAAATTCCAACGAAATGCACTGCCTGGTAGCAGCAGCACAGGCCATGCTGGGCAGATACAAGAGTATTTCCCACAGGAGTTACAGACAGTTTTGGGGTACCTCGCTCACAAAGATCTCCCCTGAGAATACCGGCAGCCCCTCCAGCCCACTCACAAAGATCTCCCCATCCCTGAGAACACCAGCAACCCCTCCAGCCCACTCACAAAGACCTCCCCACCCCTGAGAACAGCCAACCGCTCCAGCCCACGGAGCCTCTGCTGCTTAGACTAGGGTGGATGCCTGACTCCAGCCAGGCCCATCAGCTCTCCTCCCCTGGAATTCCAAATCTGGCAGAGACTGCCAGGCTTCTTAGCAGCAAGCAGCTGGACCCCAGTGCAGACTGTGCTGTGGATGACATGTCCTCCCAGAGCTGGACAGGCAGAGACTCAGCCTGGCTGCTGGGACAGCAAGGGACAAGAAGTGGGGGCCTCAGAGGCCACAGTCCCAAGCGTCTAACCATAGCACTGTGCAGAGGAGAGTCAGGGCAGGGTTCCTGATGGGTGTCACAAGAGTCTGGGGACATGAAGTAGAAGGCATCTGGGCAGAGGAGGAGATTGCTGCCCAGGCGTGGAGGTGGAAAACAGCTCAGCATTGTGGGGAGTTAAAGGGGAAGGGGCCAGAAGATCTTCTCAAAGGGGACCAGGTGTCCTAACAAAGGCCTTGGGACACCTCCCCCAATCATCAAAGTGTATGCACCGTGACCCCACCTTCACCTACACCTCACCCCTGAAATAAGGTCTTCCTGCCTGGGGCCGGCACTGTCCACTCAGCAGGCACGAACGGTTCCCTCCCTTTCCCTTCACTGGTCTCTAACTGCCTCCTGAGCCCAGGAGTTTGAGAAACGCTGCAATAGAGACTCATGGGTTTTAGGCAGGAAAAACAAAAAGGCCAGACATGGTCCTTACAAAGGCCACTTTAGGTCGGGCTCTGTGGCTCACGCCTGTAATCCCAACACTTTGGGAGACCAAGGCAGGTGGATCACCCGAGATCAAGAATTCAAGACCAGCCTAACCAACATGGTGAAGTCCTGTCTCTACTAAATACAAAAAAAAAAAAAAAAAATTAGCCAGGCATGGCGGCACATGCCTGTAATCCCAGCTACTCGGGAGGCTGAGGCAGGAGAATCGCTTGAACCCGGAAGGCAGAGGTTGCAGTGAGCCGAGACTGCGCCATTGTACTCCAGCCCAGGTGACAAGAGTGAAACTCCATCTCAAAAAGTAAATAAATAAATAAAGGCCACTTTAATATGATACGTTTCACAACAACAAAAGGATTTTTAAAGGGTTTGCTTAGCAAAATGGGACAGGATGGGGTGCCCTGTGGCACAGCTGCTCTAGCACAGGCTGGCAGTGATGGGGACTTCCACCCGGGGTGAAGCCTGAGGACAGGGCCACTGAAGGAAGGCTGTTTCCAGGTTGGGGCAGAGGTTAGCCCCCTAGAGCTCAGTTACCCATCAGGGCCACACTCACTCCCCTCCTGTAAAATAAGCTTCGTGTCTGTTCCGAGGAGCAGGTGTTGGGCCTGTCCTACCACTGAGAAGGGCTTTGGACACGCGTACTTCCAGAACTTGAATAAAGGCTCATTTAAGGTATATTAGGGCAATATTTCTTTTTTTAACGTACAGAGATTTATTTTTCTCTGAGGAAAACAGTAAATAGTGAATGAATTTGTTTCCCACTCAGACTTGGAAAAGACTTGTCTGTTTTGAAGTGTTATTCAAACTGAGACGTTGGCCATTTGAGTGTGGGATTAACGCCAAGGGTGCACTTTCTACAGAGTGGGGCGTTGTTTTTCAGAGAATCACTAAAGCACATTCTGAGCAATATCCTGTACCACATTTCAGGATAAATACAACATTCTATATTGGCCAGGTGCAGTGGCTCATACCTGTAATAGCAGCACCTTGGAAGGCTGAGGTGGGAGGATCACTTGAGCCCAGGAGGTGGAGGCTTCAGTGAGCCATGATCATACCACTCACTCTAGCCTGGGCGAGAGAGAGAGAGAGGGAGACCCTGTCTCAAAAAAAAAAAAAGGCTATATTTATTCATTTATTTTTGAAACAGAGTCTCACTCTAGCCCAGGCTGGAGTACAGTGGCACAATATCAGCTCACTGCAACCTCCGCCTCCTGGGTTCAAGCAACTCTCCTGCCTCAGCCTCCCGAGTAGCTGGGATTTCAGGCACCCGCCACCACGTCGAGCTAATTTTTGTGTTTTTAGTAAAGACAGGGTTTAACTATGTTGGTCAAGCTAGTCTCAAACTCCTGACCTTAAGTAATCTGTCCACCTCAGCCTCCCAAAATGCTGGAATTACAGGAGAGAGCCACCACGTCCAGCCTCAAAAGTCTATACTTCCATACCAATCATTCAGTGCTGACAAAATCTGTTACTCAGCATTTCAGAAAATGTACAACTTAACTGGAAAAATGTTTAAATGTATTAAATAACTTCTCTATGTATTTGAAGGAAATACATAGATGTATGTTTATACTTGAAATGTTCTTTTGGAGAGATTTGTTTTTGGGAGAAGGTAGAATCATCTTATAAATCATCTCTAGGTCATTCATTTGTGTTAATACAATTATGGCTGCATGCTAGTCTGATGGTAGTGGGTCCCCAGAACTCATTAACCTTAGTGTCACCATCATTGGTATACAACCCCTCACTGCTAAATTTGACTGGCTTAAAAAAAAAATCATAGCTATGGCCGTTGCGGTGGTTCACGCCTGTAATCCCAGAACTTTGGGAGGCCAAGGCAGGTGAATCGCTTGAGGTCTGGAGTTCAAGACCAGCCCGGTCAACATGGTGAAACCCCATCTGTACGAAAAATACAAAAATTAGCCAGGTGTAGTGGCAGGTGCCTGTAATCCCAGCTACTCGGAAGGCTGAGGCAGGAGAATCTCTTGAAACCAGGAGGTGGAGGTTGCCGTGAGCTGAGATTGTGCCACTGCACTCCAGCTTGGGTGACAGAGCAAGACTCCACCTCAAAAAAAAAAAAAAAAGGAGAAGAAGAAGAAAATATAGCTGTGAACTAGCATGAGGCATTTAGGATCTTATCTAGCCGACTCCAAGAGCAGCTGAGATGAAAAGGGGATAAAAATCTCAAGAACAAACTATGATGTGTAAGAGTTCCTGCAGCCCAGCCTATCCAAACTTGAGGCGTCCTCCTGATACCCCTTAACTGACGGCTTCAACGTGCAACTTGTCAACAGAGGGCAATTGGGCACTCCCAGAAGAGCAAAATATTAATATTAAGCAAGCGAGAAACTGTATTCTGCACGCTAGAGGACCCTTCACCAATACCTACAAACCAATGATCGCCTGTAACATTTTAAAATCCTAAACCTAAGCCATTCCTCCACGAAGGAATTCTGCGAACCTCTAGAATTCCACGGGAAACTCAGGCTTCGCGGTTTAAAAGGGCAGGCAGAGGCATGCTCCCGGCTCAGGCGGACTTTCCAGGCTGCTGGGCGGGTTATTCCACCGGACGGCGACAGCCACACGGCAGGTTCCCGGAGCAGCAGCAGCTCAGCCGGCCGGGAGCAAATCCCCCTCCTTTCTCACCCCGCTCCGGGGTCAGTGGGCCTCCGCCGGCACCTGCCCTGCTCCCAGTGTGGGAGAGGTAGGCCCCGCCCCCGCGGCAGACCACGCCCCGCCTGGCCCCGCCCCGCCCGGCAAGGCCCCGCCTCGTGAGGCCCCGTCCCGCCCACTCCACGGCCCCGTCCGCCGAGGCAGCGCGCGCCCTTCCCGTCCTCGCCGCTACCTGCTGCGGTTCCGGCGGTCGGCCGCTCCGTGGCCCTCGGGCGCCTTGGTTGCGGCCCTCCGCTGAGGCGCCATCGCGCCAGGCCGCCTTGGAGCCGGGCCGGACGCGGGAACCGCCAGGCCCGGGGACTAACGCCGTGACAGGGAGCGCGAGGCGGGCGCGGCGCAGGGACGCGAGAGCGACGCGCTCGGCCATCGGCCCCCGGGCTGGCGGCCAGGCCCGAGCAATCGGCGGCCGAGCGGGGCGGGCTCGGAGCGGAGGCGGCGGTCACGTGGGCGGGCGGCCGGGCCTGGCGGCGCCCCCGGACCTCGCGGGACCGCGGCGGCGCAGGTGAGGTGCGGCGCGGCGCTGGCTGTGCGCGCTCGGCCGGGGCTCCCGCTGGAAGCGTTTCCCCCCGCGCCTGCACCTGCAGAGGGACGGCCGGCTCCGGAGCGGCGCCCCGGCGTGGCTGTCCCGCAGCGGCGTTGCGGGGCTGCCGGGAGAGGCGCGCACCGAGCCTGCGGGCGAGAACTGTGCGTCGTCGGTGGAAGCCGGAAGCGCCCGGTGGCCGTGAGCGCCGCCCGCCTGCCCTGCTGCGTCGCAGGCCCCCTGGGGCCCGGAGCCTGCGAACCGTTCCCGGAACCAGGGCTGGAATTACTGAAGCGAGCCTGTCTCACGCACAAAGGCTTTCTTTCCTTTTCTCACCCAGTCCTTTGTGCTTTCATAATAGATAGGAAAAAACGAACACGCGCATTTTACTTTCCCCAGCTGCTCCGTGGTTCCTTGGATGCCGATTTTATTCGGTAGGACACTACAGTCAGCTCTGATGCACTTGGGGCTTTTCAAAAATTATCAGTTTTCTCCAAGCTGGAGTCAGCTTTAGTTTGCTCCTCCTTATAATCAAGCTGCTCTGAGCTCCAGAAATACATATTAGCTTTAATGTTATCTAAAATTAGGTTAAATTTCCTGCAGAAGTGTCATATCGTGGGGCCTGATAAGATGTTTAGAGGCTTCTGCGGGACTGTTTTCACTGGCATAGTACGTCTAGTTTAACAAGGTCTTTAAAACAAAGTTGTTTTGCAGTAATTTGTGTTATTATAGGTCATAACCGTCTTGTAAAGAAACCAGTGCGGTTTTGTGTTAGCAGCAAATCACAAATAGCAGAGGTCTCTATATTTGAACGTGCATGTAGACTTCTGGTTCATTTTCATGTTGGCAAAATGAGTTTCCTCCGAGTTAATCAAAACTGGGGCCGGGTGCAGTGGCTCACGCTTGTAATCCCAGCACTTTAGGAGGCCGAGGCAGGTGGATCACGAGGTCAGTTGATCAAGATCATACTGGCCAACATGGTGAAACCCTGTCTCTCCTAAAAAAAAAAAATACAAAAATTAGATGGGTGTGGTGGAGGCGGTGCATGTAATCCCAGCTACTCCGGAAGCTGAGGCAGAATAGCTTAAACCAGGGAGTCAGAGGTTGCAGTGAGATGGAGATTGCGCCACTGTACTCCAGCCTGGGGACAGAGCAAGGCTCTCAACGAAAACACTGGCCAGTATCAGAACTGAAACAAAATATAAAGGGAAGGGCAAAGGGAGAAGCTTCTGCCCCTGTTGATAACTCTGATTTTCTCCACTAGGAAGAAGTCCCCAAGGAGACTTTGCCATAGGAGTTCACAGAAAATACTGAAATGTCAGGTTCCACGCCATTTAAGATGAGATTAGTTCATTTAGACCTTAAAGGAGCTCCACCAAAGGTCTCGTACCTCTCAGAGGTAAGGACTTCCTTTCACCTCTGGAGCATCACTTTTTGCCTTGGCTTCGGTCTTTAAAGTTTTGAGCGGTGTTCTGTGGAAATGGGTGCCTAGAACACAACCACAAGGTTCTTGGTAGAGGAAGATGGTGGCAGCAGCGTTGATTTTGAATTTCCCCCATAGCCTCTCACAAAAACAGAACAACCAGGATGGCAACGGGAAAATAAAGAGAACAAAAGAAACTCACAGCCTCTGTTGTGGGTTGCAGTGAGTCCTTCCAAAAAGATGCGTTCAAGCCTTAACTGCTGGGACCTGTGAATGTGACTGTATTTGAAAGAGGAGCTTTGCAGATGTCATCAAAATAAGATGAAGTTGTAGTAGAATACGGTGAACCCTAATCCAGGGATTGGCATCCTTATGAGGAGAGGGAAATTCAGAGCCTCAGACGCTCGGACGGAAGGCAGAGTGAAGACCCAGGAGGACACCCCTCAGTGACGGCAGCCGAGGTGGTCATGACGGCCACAGACTCCGGGATGCAGAGGACTGCTGGAGAGAGGCAAGGAGGGGTCCTCCCCTGCAGCCTTCCGGGAGAGCTGGGTCTGCCCCAACCTGGATTTTGGACTTAGGGCCTCCAGAACTGTGAGAGAATTAATTTCTGTTGTGTCAAGCCACCCAGTTTATGGTCATTTATTAGAGCACCCTTAGAAAACTAAGATAGTCTTCAACAAAACTAGGCATCAGCGGGTCCCCATGGATCCCAGACTACAAGTGGGTGGGGCCAAACCACAGACAGATAACACCCACATGGGGTTAGCAGCCAAGCAGGAGGTAATAGAGGACAGAGAAGGGGAAGCTCCAACAGTGCCGAGACTAGAGGACCCAGAAAACTGCCTCAGAAGTAAAGCTCTCCCATAGGGACAAACAGGGGCGGGTTTTACTGGCTCCAGGGTGAGACTGAGTGTAGAGACTTAAAGGAGGGTGTGGGGGAGGCCCGAGGCCACGAGGCGCTCAGAAATACCTGATGACACTTTCTTCCAGGGGGACAGAGCCCCCCACTGAGGACACTACAGGGAAAGAATCCACATCGAACTGGGCAGGAACAGCCAAGGGAAAGGGGACTGCTCAGCCCCTGGACGAGGCGGAGGTCAGAAAACAGCAGAAGCAGCTTCACAGAGCCTGCGGTTTCTGATACTGCAGGGCAGCAGAAGAGGAGGGGCCTTGAGGCTGGCCTGTCACCATTGCAAACGCAGGAGCCTGTTCTTAAAAATGAGCAACAGGCCAGGCACGGTGGCTCACGCCTGTAATCCCAGCACTTTTGGAGGCCAAGGCCAGCGGATCACTTGAGGTCAGGTGTTCACGACCAGCCTGGCCAATATGGAGAAACCCCGTCTCTACTAAAAATATAAAAATTCGCCAGCACAGTGGTGCACGCCTGTAGTCCCAGCTACTCAGGAGTCTGAGGCAGTACAGTTGCTTGAACTCGGGAGGCAGAGGTTGCAGTGAGCCAAGATTACACCCCTGCACTCCAGCCAAGGTGACAGAGCAAGACACCATCTCAAAAAAGGAAAAAGCAAGAAAGAGTGTTGTTAAACATCACAAAGATTTGTAAGAAAAAAGATGATTTGCATAGCATTTCAGCAGTGAAGGTGCTCCAGAAGCAGGCCCACCCAGCAGGAAGTGCTGCTCTGTGACATTTCAAAATGAGAGAAAAGATATTCAGAAGATGACAGAAGCAGTGAAAGAACAGCATAAATCAGAAATAGAAAAGCCCAGGCCAGGTGCAGTGGCTCACGCCTGTCATCCCAACACTTTGGGAGGCCAAGCGGGCAGATCACTTGAGGCCAGGAGTTTGAGACCAGCCTGGCCAACATGGTGAAACCCTGTGTCTACTAAAAATACAAAAATTAGCCGGGCCTGGTGGCGGATGCCTGTAATCCCAGCTACTCGGGAGGCTGAGGCAAGAGAATTGCTTGAACCTGGATGGTGGAGGTTGCAATGAGTTGAGATCGTGCCACTGCACTCCAG